ATCGCCGCGCGCGGTGATCTGGTTTCGAGCGCGGCGGTGACTCCTGGCCGTCTCCTCAAGTCCAGCCGTTGTTTCCGCCTGGGAATTTTTCTGCAAGATACGCGCCCCTCCTCAGAATTTCAGGTGCAACTCCCATTCCCCTTCTTCTCATCCTACTCACTATTTTCTTGAATTCTCCTGAACGAGCGCCGTACACCCTTTCGAAGCTGTCTTTCCAACATTCTTCAGCTTTCCACAATAAACTGCCTTTGAGCGGGCATGGGGAGGGTTAGCACACTAACTCAAAACAAGAAAAACCGAGAAATAGTCAGAAACCGAAAGCAATTCACTTAGCAACTAAGGCAGCCGCCCTTTCTCCAGCGACCCGTCGTTGGAATCCCCAGCGCGCAACACACCATAATTGCAAAGAAACTTGGAAGTGAGTCAAAATTATCGCTGAAAACGCTGGCGAACCATTTAAAAGCTGAGGACGCTCGAAACATTGAAAGCGCTTTCGTAAATTATGAACGCACCCCAGCTTATGTGTTGTACTTGGGAAGAGTGAGAATAAGTGTCTTTGGCCTCGTGACCAGTGCCGGCTTCAAAAGGTTCTGCGCTGGTTAGCCTTGAAAAAACGATCTGATACTCTGACATTTTTTTGCCTCTGCCCATTTTCATTTGACACTATTTCAAACTCACTTGATTTTTATTTTCTAAATTAGGAAGCTCATATCATGCTGCGAGTCCGGGATTTGAAACGAAATGGGTTATGGAGTGCTGCTCGTCTTCCATTATGTGTTGAACCACCCCGGAATAAAACACATTGGGATTTCGTTCTCGAAGAGGTTAAATGGATGGCTACAGATTTTCGATTGGAAAGGAACTTCAAACGCACAGTTGCTCGAAAGGTAATGTCAGATTACTTGAACATCGCTGATATTCGATATAGTAGAGAAGCTTGAGTTCTTTCTTGTATTCGGATATGTCTTTATATTTTCTTTTATACGCTCTGCGGGGCTGTAGTGGTGTGAAGGCTAGTGGTGCTTTTACCACGCGCGCGATCCCGGCCTCAGATTCCGTACCGACTCCAACCCAGGCTCTTCTACCTCCCGGGGCAGTAAACTGGTAGCAGATTCGTCTGGGAGGATAAGACACTGGCTTGCACATCGCTCGCCCCGGCAAGAGTGTGGAACACATCGTTCAGTAAGCCACCACAGCTTCGAACTGAAGGAGAATGCTGCCGCACCGCATCCCTAAAATGTATTGAACAACGGTGAACACTTTATTCTTCATCCTTTTATGCTTTCGATCGCTTCCCTATTCCTTTTTTGTTTACTCAGTAATATTGTGCTTGGCCTTCAAAGGTTTGTGGGTATAATAGTTCATTTACCCCTCTACCGTTTTGACGAAGTCTTCCTCAAAGCACTCGTTCCACCGTAGACTCAAAATAATCCGCCAATACGAACGTCAACCTGTAGCGAGTTCGGTGCAGCGTTATTAGTTAGTTTCGCAAGTACGCGAAAAGCGGGCACAATTTCGCTTCATGGGGGCTTCTTATTGGCGAATTAT